GTCGTTGGAGTCCAGTGGCAGGGCATAGATCAGGAGGACTGGCAATGGCCCAGGATGAAGTGGGAGATCTTGGCCTTTTTAAACTAAGGTCTTTCCCAGGTCTCAGTTTGTCTGAGGCAACACCTGTTCAGTAGTTAAAGGCTAGGTAATAATTGAGGTAAAAGATGGCCTATTTTGCTTTCACAAAAGAATCAGTCAAGGAGGGGAAGACCCTCAGAGTTTCTGACCAGAACAGAAACAACTGATATTTACACTCACTCTGAGTCCCAAACAATGAAGAAGTGAGGCTTGAGCTGGGGCCTATAACTGGCCAGTCAGTGAGAGCGAGAGTGATTTGGGGCAACTAAGTGGTACATTAGATAGAGCACTGGCATGGAAATGAGAAAGATTCATTTTCTTGAATTCAAATCTGGCCTTAGATACTTATTAACTGTGTGACCCTGGGCAAACCACTTAACCCTGTTTGCTTCAGTTTCCTCATCTGTAAAATGAACTGGAAAAGGAAATAGCAAAACCTAGCTGCATCAATATATAGACTACAGAGTACAAGTACAAAACATTTTTATACAAATAAAGATAAACCTAAATGATTAGAAAGGTATTAATTGCTCATGGGTAAGCTGAACAAATGTAATAAAATATTAACTAAATAAATTTATTCAGTGCAATGCCAATTAAATTACGAAAGCAGTGCTTTATAGAGCTAGGAAAAATTACAATGAAATTTATCTGGAGGAAATAAAGAGTTAAGAGTCTCAAACAAAATAGGATAAAAAATGGGAAGGAAGATATCAAAATATCTTAAAAATCATTAATAATTAAAATATTTTGGTTTGGGTTTAGAAATAAAGAGGTTTATCTGTGGAACAGATTAGGTAAATGAACATAGTAGTACACTGTTCAATAAACCCAAAGAGTCCAGCTACTGGAGTAAGAACTCACTGTTTCACAAAAAACTGCTAGGAAAACAGGAAACCAGAATGACAGAAACTAGATATAGATCAACATCTTATACCGTTTGCTAAAAGGTGACAGGACAAATGAATTAGAGGAACAAGGGGAAAAAATTACCTTTCAGATCTGTACATGGGAGGAGCATTCATGACCAGCTGAGGGATAAAGAGGATAAAAGGGACAATTTGATTATATAAAATTAAAAAGTGTTTGAGCAAATAGAATCAATGCAGCTAAGATTTGGGAAGCAGATAACTAGGGGAAAAGATCATTGCAGCAAATTTCTCTGAAAAAAGATCTCATTTCCAAGATATATTAGGAACCGATTGGAATTTATAAAATTAGGAACTATTCTACAATTCTTATATAGTGAAATAATATAAAAAGGGAATTTTTGGAGTAAGAAATTCAAAGTAGCAATACCTATATTTTTTAAGTCTTCCAAATCACTAAGAATAAAAAATGCAAGTGAAAGCAACACTGAGGTTCTTTCTTACACCCATTATACTGGTAAAGTAGAAGGAAAAAAAAAGAAAATGACAAAGGTTGGAGGAACTATGGGAAAAACAGGCACATTAATATACCATTGGGGCAGGCTACTATCTCACACATTCAGGAAGGCAAGTTGGAACTATGCCCCTAAATTACTAACCTATACATGCCCTTTTAGCCAGTGTTACTACTATTTCATTGTGACCCTAAAATTCCAGTCCACAACAAATGGACACTGGGGCAGGACTCGAATAGTTTCAGTTTATTAGAGAAACTGTGCCCCAGCCCATGTTCTACTGTCACTGAAAAAAAAAAAAGATACCTTACAAGTGGTGATGGCATCTGTAAAAGTGTGCTTTGAAACTGCTGTATTGTTGATGAGCCCAGGCTTGAGGGACAGGATTGGCCCCTGGGTAGATGTTGTCCTGAAGTTTGGTCCTCCCCAGGGATCTAGGGATGATAAAAGCTTCACAGCAGGCATTGAGGCTGCATCACTGGGAGCTGGGTACCAGGGGCTCTGGGTGGAAAGGAAAAGGGGTGGGGGAGGTGGGTAGGAAGTGTCGGTGAGCAGCCAGCATTGGTGGGCTCCAAGGGCTGGGTAGATGAAAGCATTCAGTGGAATAGGAAGATGAGGAAAAGGAAGGGGAATCATCTACTCAGTGGGCAGATGGGGGCAGGTGTTGAAAGGGCTGTGATGGACCCTGGTAAAACACAATATTCCAGTGGTGCAGAAAGAAGCTAGGATGGACATGTGGGCTTTAATGGAAAGACCACTGGTTTGGGAGTCAGAAGACCTTGCTTAGAAATCTCTACTGACGGGAAAACTGAGGCCTGAAGATGGGAAGAGCCTTGGCTAAAGTCACACAGCTAGTAAGCAGCAGGTGCTCACTAGTAAGTAGCAAGCCTTCCACTCCCCACCAGCAGACAGAGAAGACAAGCCCTCTTCTGATATGGTGTGAACAGACTGACAGAATTGCGGTGGTGACTTTTGCTTTTATGCAGTAGCATACCATGCATCCTGCATGAAATCCAGTGACCTGGGTTTGAGACCTGGGGCTGCCACTTCCCTAGTACTGTGACCTTGGGCAAGTCACTCCACCTCTCTAGGCCTCATTTTTCTCCTCTCTAAAATGGGTGTATTAACACCTGCCCCACCTACTTCATTGGGGGGGGGTGTGGTGAGGGGGGCAGGACTAAGGGGCTGTGAAAATCCTCAGGAGGCAGAAAACACTATCAACATATGAGGGTTTCTTCCATGTGTCTGACCAAAATCTTTCTTGCTGTGCCCCACAACCATTATCCTCTCTCAGTTCTTCCCAAAGCCTCTTACTCTGCCTCCGTTGCTGAGGCCTGCTCTCCCCCAGAAAGGGAACCCAGACTACCCACCTCTTTCCTTAAAACACATTGTCCTTTAGGGCTGCTCCCCCTTTCTGGGCTCAGCAAATTGCTCAATACCCCACTCGTGGAATCTTTCTGCTGAAGGGGAGAACTGCTGCCAGCTCTGTAGCAGCTTGGGACAGGGCTGTGGCAGTAGCTGGTGCAGGGGATTTCAGGCTGACACCAGGGTCCAGGAGCCAGAGCGTGAAGGAAAGGAGGGAAAGATGGAGATGAGCAGAGGAGGAAGAGAAGAGAGGGAGGATAGGGAGGAGGCAAAGGTAGGAAGGAAAAAGAAAGGAAGGAGAAGGAAAAGGAGGAAGGAGGAGGGGGAAAAGAAGATGAGGTGAAAGAAGAGGATGAGTGAGAGGAGGGGGAAGAGGAAGAGGAATCAGAGAGGAGAAAGGAGAACAGGAAGGAAAAAGAAGATAGAGGAGAGGCTGGAGCTCAGTGCTGTAGGCTTGAAAAGCCCAGACCAGTCCTTCAGCCAGCCTCCTGTTGTACTGGACATGCTGAGCTAGTGCTAGGGTATGCAAGGGGAAGCAGGGTTTGGGCCAAGGAGAATGACTCCCAGTGAGCCTTGCCCTCCTGATCATCTCTTAAGGTGGCAGGACCAGCAGGAAACGGCCAGGGCCTGAGCCCACTACATATGGCCTCCCAGGGATGTGCCAGACCTTCTCAGGGGAGGACTTCCCAATAAACACTAGACAAAGCAATTAGTCAGCAAACATTTATTAAGTCCTTACTGTATGCCAAACATTGTGCTAAGCGCTGGGGATACAATGGAAGGCAAAAACACTATCTGTGCTCTCAAGGAGCTCACATTCTAACAGGGGAGACAATAGGTACACACAAGATATAGACAGAGTAGGTGGAAGGCAATATGCGAGGGGAAGGCACTAGCAGCTGAGGGAGCTGGGAAAGGCCTCCTGCAGAAGGCGTCCCTTTGCCTGAGCCTTGAAGGAAGACAGAGAGTCTAAGAACCATACACTCATCAGATGCCTGCGTGTTCATGGCACTGTACTGGGCATGAAGAGTGATACCACCTTCTCTCCCACTCCTTCCTTCTTTTTGCACTCACCAAGACCTGTCTGTGGTTGCAGTTTTGCTCATTCCCCCCCCACTCACCTCCCACCCTCCCTCCCATTCCCTCATCAAGGTGGAGGAGTTGGAATACTCCTTGCTCCCCACTGCCATCTCCTTCTACCACCAACACCCCATAACTTTTCCTCCTTTGAAGTTCACTCAATCCATGTTTCCCACTGAGTCAAGGTTCTAGCAAACTTAATGAGAAAAGGGTATTAAAAGACAAGAGAGACAAGCTCATCTGGCAAACAGATAATATTACTGATTGAAGTGCAGATAACATACACATACACATTTGCCATCCATCATTTCTGACTAGTATTTAATTACCCATGACCAAATTCTTCCTTCACATGATCTGGCCTGGTCACACACTCTGCATGGCTAAGAAAGTACTTCACAGTTATTTCTGTCAATAGATAGAAAATATATGGCAAAAATATACACACAAAAATAAATAATCATTATAGTCCTCAGATGACTAATATTATTCAAGTTAATTTTGGGGACCTTTTGTTGTTGTACAACTAGACTCTGAATTAGTTTTGTCTTTCTAGCAACTACAAAAGCACAATCTTATTTCTTCAAATTTAATTTGGTATAAAATATACCTAAGGTGACTTTGCTCTCTTTGGACTTTCTATTATGAAGTTGACTTGCAGAATCATCAAATTAAGCACATGGTAAGCATGATGATATTAAAAGGGTGAAGGGAGGGGGAAGGAGAAAGAAGAAGTGTTAGTAGAATTAAAAGGCAAGAGTAGATAAAAGGAAAGATGCTGTCAACAGAACTTCAGGCTGACGTTCCTTGGATGCCAGCTCCCTGACAGATCTTGAAAAGCCAGTCACAGGGGACTTTGCTGAAGGGTATAAAGCTGGATTGAAACATTTAGTCAGTCACAGATCTAATACATATAGCAATTTATAACCAAGAACACTAGAGGTGCTTAGAAGATGAAAGACCAGGAAAAGCAGTCACTAAGTTCTTCTTTTCCTTGTTGGGTTAGCTTAAGCTGAGTCAACAATTTACAACACAGTGAACATACTCTGCTCCATGGGTCCAAAAGGAGGGAATGCTGTGTGAAATTGGAGGGATGATCACTTTTCAGGCAAACATCAAGGAAACTCCAACCTTCTAGGAAAACAGGATCTGAGCTGATTCACTCTCCATAGGTGTAGAATTGATGGTCCTCAGCCTCAAACGGTGGCATCTCTTGCATACTGGAAGAGACAAAAATGAAACAAGGTATTAAGTTACAGTCAGTGCTTGTTAACCTGGGAATGGGAGGAGAGGAGGGATGGGGGCCAAACTAAGACCAACTAGATATATTTACCAAAAGATTGAGTATGATATGGATTTTTCCCCACGGCCACACATACTTGCTAACAGGTGGATTAATTAATACACTGCAAAATTCAACCTGAAAACTCTTCTACTTATCACGATCTGTGGTAGGAAGGAATGGTTATAATTAGTACTGAAAGACAAAAGAGAAAACAGGTTGAGAAGGTATGGTTTAAAAAAAAAACCCATATTTTGACCAAGGGATTTAACTGGAGATAAAAACCTGTATAAAAAGATGGGTTTAGGCATGAAAAAAGAAATGAATAAAGCCCTGCTTTCTATTTCACCTCGTGAATGCTTGCTGGTCTGCTCTCCATACTGGTTCTCTGCCATAGTGGACATACTGGACGTTCTGGTAGCCGTTCTGGAAGCTGCTCTGGAAGCCTTTGTGGGCCCCCCTCTGGGCCTTCTTGTGGACGTGGGATGCTCCAGAACCAAGGCCGTACAAGTATCCAGAATACTTGGCATCGTCAATGTGGTCTTCGAAGAACATTTCTCTCATTTTGAAAAAGGCCATACCCGTGAGCAAGGAATCGGACCCCGCCTGGTGCTGGGAGCCAATGCGCTCCAGCTCCAGCTGAGTAGCCACTTCCTGCAGTCCACCCCTGAGGGTTTTGCAGCTCTTCATGAGGTACTTGATGTCATAGATGACAGGAAAGAAGAGTCGAAGGATCTCGAAGAAGTCTTGGGCTTCTTCGGGCAAGGGAGAGTTGGTGAGGATCTTGATGAAGTAGCCAAAGTCATAACCACTGTGGAAGGAAAGCCACTTGACCCCTTCACACAGCACCACTCCTGATGTCATCAGGAGCTCCGCAAAATACTGTGCCTCGATGCCCTCCTCCTCGTGCTTCTTGAACTGGATCCCTGACATGGTGAGGAGCTCGATGGAATCTTGTGCGTACATGTCCTCCTTCAAATTGAATTTGAAATTGAACTGCCACGTGGAGGTTCCTGGAGGGCACTCTCCTTGCTCATTCATAAACGTCAGTCCCAGCTGGATGATCTTCAGCCAGTCCACATTGCATCTCAGCAGCTGGTACTGGTAGTCAGCATAGCTTCTGAATTCTCCCACGGGTCTGGCCACCACACCTGGGAACTCCGTGTCCATAGCCACGTAATTGTACTGCTGGATAACCGGTCGCATTTTCTTCATCTCCTCGTCCAGGTTGCAAGCCCAAACTTCCCGGATCCGCGGGCTCTGGTCGGCATGGGCAGTGGGCATGGTGGGCAGAGGCGGGGCGCGCCGCGGGGGCGCCTCAGGCGCCAACAGGCAGCAGCTCCTCATCCAGCAGATCCAAGATTCGCCTCCTAAAGCACCTTTTTCGTCTCCCTGTACTTTGGTACCTGCGCCGCGGCCGCTGCGGTCGCGCTTCTCCGCCTCCACCTCCGCCGCCTCCTCCTCACCATAGAGACTGCCTTCCGTGACTGCGCCCCCCACCTTCCCTTGGTCCCTCCCCCTGCTCCGTCCTCCCCCCCCCACCCGACGTCCCCCGCTGGCCGCCAGGGGAAGGAAGGAAGGGGGCGCGGGAGCCGCGTGGCGCTGCCCCGCCTCTTCTCCGCTGCTCTCCAAGTCCAAGTCCAGGGAGAGAGCTGCGCGGTGACGTCAGCCTGCCTGTGTGCCCAGATGATGCTGGGCTGATGGCTCTTCTCCCGATTACGGGCGATGTGCGCGCGTGTCTCTAGGAGACCCCGGCGGAACGTCAGCCCCCCCCGCGAGGGGAGGGGAAGCAGGCAGGGGAGGGGAGGACAGGGGAGGGGGCGCTTTCGTGATGGGACGGCGCGGTGTCGCAGTCTCCCCGTGTGCCACGCCGGGGTGCCGTTCCCCCTCCCCTGCCCAGACCCGGGGCCTTTTGGATGTGATGATGGAGGGGTGGAGGGACGGACAGAGTGAGTGACACTGCCTACCTAAGCCCAGAATTACACAGGAGGAGGAGGAGAAGAGACGAGAGGGAGGGAGGGATTGCCTTTGGGAAATGGCAAAACTATTTTGGCGACCCCCGTTAATTTTAATTTCCATACATAGAGACCTAAGGAAGGACTTCCTTATTATACCAGTTGGCCCAGAGATGTCCACCCTAACGTGAGACAGTGAATGAACAAATGAGTAAGTGAACAAACCAAGGAACGAATGAATGAAGCAAGCAAGCATTTAGGAAGCACTTACTATGCTCAAAGCACTATGCTAAACCCCGGCGGGGGCGGGTGGGGGCAGGGTAGGAAAGGAAGACAGTCCGTGCTCTGAAAGAGCTTGTGTTCTACTGGAAGATACCTAACATTCAATATTCCCTGCCATTTAAAGCCTAATTAAATGATCCACCCTTTCACGCTCAACAAGATGAGTTCCGTTAATCCTTGGTGAAAATCACTGTCCACAGCTCTTTCTGTACCTCTCCTCACACACGTGCAGAGGGGATGGATGGGAATGTGCCCTGAGGAACTTCAGCCTTCTAAATAGAGGCTTCATTATGGTAATTATTATCCTTCATAGGGGCATCATCATGTCACCTTATGTTTCCACAGGGAGCCACTGGCCTTCTGCCAACAGTACACCTGCCTCGGGGGCTTATAAGGGTGCCAAGGCCCTGCTGGAAATCATGCCCCCAGGCCCTAGAGCTGCACCCCTGAGACTCGCAGGAGACTGTGTGGGTAAAACATTTGTAAACTTTAAAGCACTGTATAAATGTGAGCTGTTTTCAGGGTGGGAGGCTGGCTGAAAGAGGGAGAGGAGCACGCGGGGGAAAGATGCAAAATGTCTGATTTAGGCCAAGTTTCAGGGAAAATTTCCTAGGAATGAGAGCTGTTCCAAGCAGGGATGGGTTGCCTTGCAGGTGGGGGTTCCCCTTTCCAGCAGAGGCTGCATGATCACTTGTCAAGAGTGTTATATCGGGGACTCCTTCTGTGTGAGTTGGCCTAGATGGCCACTGAGTTCCCTTCCCACTGTCAGTTCTCTAATTCTTTTGTATTTAATACCAGAGTGCCAGACTTTGGAGTTGGGAAGACCTTGGTTCAGATTCCACCTCTCCTCATCTGTAAAGTGGGTATTGTAGCTGCCTCACAGGGTTGTTGCTCATAAAGTTTAAAGTGACTGGAGCCAGTGCTGTCTAGAGCCTCTCTGCTACCCACGTTCTGCTCCCAGAGGAATGTTGGTGCCAAGGGTATTCTTTTTTTTTTCTTTTTAAATTTCTTTTTATTTTCAGTTCCAAATTCCCTCCCTCCCTCCATCCTTCCTTAGCCCCTTCAGAAGGCAAGAAATTCCACACCCATAATACATATGAAGTTATACAAAACATGTTTCTGCATTAGCCATGTTCCAAAAAAAGTAAGAAAAATAAAGGAAAAAAGTATGTTTCAGTCTGCATTCTGAGTCCATCAGTTTTCTATCTGGAGGTGGGTCGTATTTTTCATCATGAGTCCTTTGGTGTTGTGGTGGATCATTTTATCGATCATAGTTATTAAATCTTTCACAATTGATGATCATTACCATATTACTGTTACTGTGTACATTATTGTCCAGGTTCTGCTCACTTCACTTATTACTTGTTCATCCATTCCCCAATTGATGGGCATCCCCTCAGTTTCCAATTCTTTGCCACCAGAAAAAGACCTGCTATAAATATTTTTGTACATATGGGTCCTTTTCCCTTTTTCTTGATCTCTGTGGTATAAAAACCTAGTACCGATATTGCTGGTTCTAAGGTCGTACATAGTTTTATAGCCCTTTGGGCATAGTCTCATATTGTTCTCCACAATGATTGGGTCAATTCAGAACTCTACCAATAGTGCATTAATGGACCTATTTTCCTGCATCCCCTCCAGTATTTCTCATCTTCCTTTTCTGTCATCTTAGAAATTCTGATGGGCCTAAGGTGCTACCTCAGAATTGTTTTAATTTGAATTTCTCTAATTATTAGTGATTGAGAGCATTTTTCCTATGGCTATTGGTAGCTTTGATTTCTTCTTCTAAAGACTGCCTGTTCATATCCTTTGACTATTTCTCAAGTAGGGAAAAACTCTTATTTTTATAAATGTGACCCAGTTCCCTATATGTTTGAGAAATTAGACCTCCTTCAGACAAACTTGCTATAAAAATTTTTCCCAATTTCCTGCATTTCTTCTACCTTTGGCTGCAGTGGATTTGTTTTTGCAAAACCTTTTCAATTTTATGTAATCAAAATTATCCATTTTACCTCCCATAACCTTCTCTATCTCTTCTTTGATCATGAACTCTTCCCCTAACTATAGATGTGATGGGTAATTTCTTCCATGCTCTCCTGATTTGCTTATGTTATCACCTAAAGGTCATTCTTTTTCTTATCTTTTTTTTATTAATTTATTTTTAGTTTCCAACATTCACTTCCATAAGCTTTTGAGTTTTACATTTTTTCAACTTCCTTCCCCTCCTCCCTACTGAAGATGGCATACAATCTGAAATAGGTTCTATATATACATTCCTAATTAAACATATTTTCACATTAGTCGTGATGTAAAGAAGAATTAGAACCAGTAGGAGGAACCACAAGAAGGAAGAAACAAAACAAAACAGAAGGAAAAAAAGAGCGAATAGTGTGCTTCAATCTGCCGTGAAACTCCGTAGTTCTTTCTCTGGATGTGGATAGCATTTTCCATCATGAGACTTTTGGAGATGTCTTAGATCCTCAGGCTCATTCTTGAGGCTACTCTTACATGTGTCATCCCCAAGTGAGTAGGGTGGTCTCCCAGAATTGACTTCAGGCTGGTTGGGTTACCACTCATTGCCTTTGGAATCTTGGGGAGGAGTCATAACATCTCTCAAGCCCCCAACACAGGCCCTGTTTTCCCTCCCACCATCCCAGCATCAGCCTGTAGGGCCAGCTTCTTCCTCCTAGACCTGTTTTCTCTCACAGCTCATGAACTATATTAAGGAATCAAGAATCCCAAGCCTCCATAAACTCTTTTAAACTGGTATTTTATTTTTTCCCAATTACATGTAAAGATACTTTTTTATATTCATTTGTTAAAATTTTGTGTTCCAAATTTTCTTTCTCCCTCACCTCCCCCTTCCCTAAGAGAGTAAGCAATTTGATATAGGTTATATATGTGTAATCATGTAAAATATATTTCAATTTTGGTCATGTTGTAAAAGAAGAAACAGACTGAAAGAAAAAAAAGCACGAAAAACAAAATGAAAATTAGTATGTTTGATCTGCATTCAGACTGCAGCAGTTGTTTCTCCGGATGTGGATAGCTTTTTTCATCATAAGTCCTTTAGGATTGTCTTGGGTCACTGTCTTGGATCATGAGCTGAGAAGGGCTGAGTGATTCACAGTTGATCATCACACACTATTGCTGTTTAGTCTGTACAATGTTCTCCTAGTTCTGCTTACTTCTCTTTGCTTCAGTTCATGCAAGTCTTTCCAGGTTTTTCTGAATTCTACTAGCTTGTCATTTCTTGTAGCACAAAAACATTCCATTATGTGCATATACCGCAGTTTATTCAGCCATTCTCCAATTGATTGGCATCCCCTCAGTTTCCAATCTTTTGCTACCACAGAAAGAGCTGCTTTAATATTTTTGTACATGTGGGTTCCTTTCCCTTTTTTATATCTCTTTGAGATACAGACCTATTAGTAGTAGTGCTGGATCAAAAGGTGTACACAGTTTGATTGCCCTTTGAGCATAGTTAGCATAGTTCAAATTGCTCTCCTGACTGGTTGGATCAGTTCACAACTCTGCCAATAGTGCATTAGTGTCCCAATTTTCCCACATCCTCTTTAGCATTTACCGTTTACCTTTTCTGTCCTATTAGTCAATCTGATAGGTGTGAGGTGTTACCTCACAGTTGTTTTAAATTGCATTTCTCTAACCAACAGTGATTAACAGCAGTTTTTCTCATGAGTATAGATACCTTTGATTTCTTCATCTGAAAACTGTCTCTTCATGTGATTTGATCGTTTATCATTCTTATAAGTTTGAGTCAGTTCTCTGTATCTTTGAGAAATGACGCCTTTATTAGAGAAAACAGATATAAAATTGTTTCCCAGCTTTCTGCTTTCCTTCTAATCTTGGTTGCATTACTTTTGTTGTAGAAACTCTTTTTAATTCAAAATAATCAAAATTATCCATTTTGTATCTTGTAATGTTCTCTGTGTCTTGTTTGGTGATAAAGTCTTTCCTTCTCAGTATGTCTGACAGGTAAGCTATTCCTTGTTCTCCTAATTTGCTTATGGTATCACCCTTTATGTTTAGATCATGTACTCATTTTGACCTTATCTTGATATACCCCCACAAAGTTATTATTTATCCTGCAAATATTTCCTTGGTTGGACCTTTCAGCAGCATGGTTCAAACTGATCATTCGAAGTTTGCTCAGACTTTTGTGGGAATTTTGTTTACTTAACTAGGCATATTTGTTACCAGTGCTTCATGTTTCTTTTTCTGTCTTCAGTGCAAG